GGTAAATCTGCGACTCCATTTTACGGCCCGCGGCCATCAGTTTATGCGCCCATAGATAAACTCCCTTCTGGCCTCGATAAGATTCTTCTGCTAATGATTACCTAATTTATGATCAATAAAAGGTTCATCATTTCCGGTAATTTATGTTGATATAAAGCTTCAAATATTTAAATAAAGCAGTCAATGTGGGGTAATTCGATATTTAGAGAGGATGAGAAGAGAATTTATTGTCCAGATGGTCTGTGGGAATATCAGGGGATTCTGACTGAGCTACCAGTGAACTTTAACAGAATGCAAAAGATAAAACTATTCTTGAAGATAGAGGATGCCTGGCCAGCATTCATAGTCCTTAGAATTAAAGATACTTCGGCCTGTATATATAAATCTTTTTATTATCTCCACGTTTCGACAAAAATATTTTGCTCTCGTCACGAGCAATTAAAAACCAAAAGATTTGGCAAGGCGTTAAAAATTATTCTAAATAATTTTTAACGCCTTGCAAAATATTTTAACTTTATTTACTACTGGCGAGGACGAACAATTTTTATCGAAACGTCGATATTATAAAAAGATTCATATACTCTCTCTCTCTGTGGCCGAATTATCTTTGAAAAAACTTCCTATTGCATTTTTCTGTAAAAATTACTGGAAGGGCCTGGCTTACCAGTAGTCAACCTTCCCAGCGAATTCTTCCGTTTAATCGTCCATACCGTTCTATAATATATCGAGCCATTTTGCTTATATATCCGGAAATTAAGAGGATCTCTTAGCTAAGACATTTAATAAAACTCTTGGCATAAGTTTTCCGAGGAGAGTACATATATTTATAAAAACGTACACTGAGCCTTGCTCTTTATCAAATAATTCACAAAAGTCCAGTTAAGCATGTATTAAGAATAAGGCATTGGAACGTCATCTATTTATAAGAAAACTAGCGGATGTACCCGGCTTCGCCCAGGTTTTTCTCGAGGGAATGTTTGTAGTCTAGTAATAAGAAAATATACTACACCTAAAAACTATCAGAGAAAAGAGAAACCACGGAAGGTGAACAGAAAAATGCTTACAATGGATGTTATACGATAATAACAAGGCGAAGGAAGACGAGCATCTTTATTGGCACCAATAAAGATACTCGTCTTCCTTCGCCTTGTTATTATCGTATAAGTTTACTCCAGGAAGAATTTTTCTACTATATTTCTAAATGGATGTTATGTTTACGATATCAAGTTAAATAAAAACAAAGATAAAATTTGCATATGTTGGTAACTATAAATTTGTATATTTGTTAGGCGAAATTATAAAAATGATAAAACAATTGGGTATTTAAAAACAAATGTAGAAATAAAAGTTGAAGTATAATAAACAATGTTAAATATTAGTTTTAATTATTAATCAAGATTGTGTGTGAATATGTGAGAAAGATGTAATATCGTTGTTGTTTTCTTGGCCGACTATTTTACATATGGTGTTATCTTAAAATTGCTTGTTTTGAATATTTTTTAGATTGAGATTATTAGCTAGTATGTAAAAAAATTAACTCTGTTGAAATTTAATTTTGTATTTATATATAAATAAAATTAACTCTGTTGATTTTTTTGTATTTAATCGATAACAGCGAAGTTACGCATATTAATGTTAGGAAATATATTTTGATGTTAAACAAAACCTGCTCCATCTCGTTTTACATAAATGTTGAAAATTTGGTTGAAATTGATGCATTGTAACGAAAGATTTTAGTGATGTCCACTTATGAAATTTCCATTTTATTAATATAGATAATATTTCATTCCCTATTTTTTAGTCAAAAATATGAAACAAGTTCTTAACATCTGTACTGCGATGGAAATTAATATAGGCCAATTGGTAATTTTGTGACCGTTTGCATAAAAGGCAATATCAGATTAGCCGTTGCATTCTATTTTGTTTAATATATTTATATTTTATTTATATAAACTTAGCTTTTTTGCCGGTCCCAAACTCGAATGAAAAAGGAGGAGGTGAACAGTAACAAGCTCACTAAAAAACCTGGGCTCAGCTGACCCGGCTGATAGTACCGGCTCATGATCCAGGGATACATGATTAACAACATATGTACTTCAATTTAGAAGCGAAATCACATGGTGTCTATTCCTCATCTCAGAGGTGGCCATTTCATATTGGAGCTAAGTCGGCCTGCTACTAAGTAGTGCTCCCAGACTTAGGTAAGCGTATTCTACTTCCCCCAGTCATGATGGTTATCAAAAGAAGATATTGCTTATAAAGAAAGCTTGAAAATTTGCTTGTTTTTATTCTGTTGTGATTTTCCACAATACCCGGCCAGTACGGATCACACGATATAGAGATAGGCCTGGAAAAAGCCACTATTGTAGCTTCAAGATTAGGATAAGCTAATTTGTCCGATAACAGGCGAATATATATGTTTCCTTCAAAACGCAAAAAAGGCAGAACCATTTCTGTCGTGTTATATTATAAAGTAGTATTTCCCCGGATGAACGCAAAAAAATCATCATTATGTTTCAAAGAGAGAGAGAGAGAGAGATATTCATAATCTTATCGTTATCTATATACAGTAAAAGGTTTAAATTATATCAAAATATAATCTCAAATATGCAAGTATATATGTATATATTTATAAATTTGTTCAAGTGGGGTTTATGTTTTATCTTACATCGCAGTCTAGACAGTAGTAAGTTGTATTCATTGGAAAATAAATAAATTCGTATTGAATTGTTTACTTTCTTATAAAATATAAAAACTGTAGGTACAAAATACATAAACAGTAAACACATAGAATAAATATTTATATTTATTAGACAGAACTTAAGGTAGTTGTACCTTTTAGTATGTACACTGCGTGACATTGAAAATGGAACACTAAGAAATAGTGGCCAGAAAATTATGCAAATTTCAGGGTAGACGCGCCTAACCGAGTTATGCAAATGATGTAAAATGCGCAGCTCTCGTGCGCACATGGAGTAAGATATAAGGGAAGGAACTTGCAGAAAGGACAGTATTCGTGTCGTTATTTCTTCAAGCAAAATCATTGTAGAAATTTTTTTCTTGTGTCAAAAGACACGTGTAATAACAGAGAATGCCAGGTCATCGTAAACGGAGGCAGTTCAAGCAGACAGACGCTTTTACGAGGGGCATGGTGATCGGACTGAAAAGGGCAGGTTGGTCCATACGTCAAATCGCAGCTGATACACACCTTGGTGCGTCCACGGTGCACCGACTGTGGAGAAGAGGGTTGGAACAAGGAAATGTGGCAATTTATAGGAATGCCGGTGCAACCAGAGTGACGTCAGCACGTGTGGATCGGCGTATCCTTCGACAAGCAGTGGCGGCCCCACAAGCCACTTGTACCGCCATCCTGCAACATGTGCAAGACACCCTAGATCATTCCATCTCGACCAGAACCATTTCCCGTCGTTTGGTTGCTAATGGCTTGCACTCATGCCGTCCGCTAAGAAGACTGCCATTGACCCCACCGAATAGGCGCCAACGTTTGGAATGGTGCCGGGCTAGATCGACGTGGATGACGGAATGGCACAGGGTCGTGTTCTCAGATGAGTCGCGTTTCTGCTTGTCCAGTGATAGTCGCCATGTACGCGTGTGGCCACGACGTGGAGAAAGGTCCAATCCGGCAGCAATTGTGGAACGCCCCACCGTGCGATAACGTGGAATCATGGTTTGGGGCGCAATCGCGTATGATTCCAGGTCACCTTTACTTCGTATTCAGGGCACTATGACGGCCCAACGATACGTTGATGATGTGCTGTGACCGGTGACACTCCCCTACCTTCAGGGGGTACCCAATGCCCTTTATCAGCAGGATAACGCCCGACCGCACACTGCTCGCATTAGCCAACAAGCTCTGCAAGATGTATAGATGCTTCCCTGGCCACCGTACTCTCCTGATCTCTCACCAATCGAGCACGTCTGGGACATCATTGGACGCCGTTTGCATGCCTTGCCACAGCCGCGTTCAGAAGACGAACTGTGGAAAATGGTTGAGAGGGAATGGAGAGCCATCCCTCAGGACGCCATCCGTACTCTGATTGACTCTCTACCTAGACGTGTTGCTGCGTGCATCGCCGTCCGCGGTGGTCCTACTTGCTACTAAGCCGACGCCGTTCTCGCTCTGTATTATGACTATCATTTTTAAATAATGATCACTTATTGTTCGTCCCTGTCTCTCTCTGTCTGCCGAGTTTCATCACTTTCTGGCCACTATTTCTTGGTGTTCCATTTTCAATGTCACGCAGTGTATATCGGGATTCAGACAATAACTGTGAAAGATATTTGATACACAGTGACCTTTATTGAACACACATGAGGTAACTATAATAAGTGAGAACAAAAATTGCCTCTGACTCCCCTAACAACAACAAAAAAAAAAATACAGACGAACAAGGAAATCAAACTATGAAATTTTCTTAAATTTTTTGTTCATGAGTGTATTTATAAAGTGTACGCGCGTATATAGAGTACACACAGACTGTGAGAAATCCCCTACACTAAGTACAATCGGTTCTCGATTTAAAACAACACCAGTGACCATAAATGTAAGTTCTTAAATATGATTAGGTCCTACAACCGCGGTGTTTTTAAAATAATCAATATTAATTGACTCATAAACTTGATGTCGCCGGTCAACTGTTTTTTTTTTCTTTAGTAGACAGAGGCAATTTTGTTCACACTTAGTTATCTCGTGTGTCTTCAATAACGGACAATGTATATCAAATATATTTTAGAATAATTGTCTGAATCCCGATATACATGCTAAAAGGTAAAACTTCCAAACTTACCTCTGTAATTTATCATACAATATAATGCGGCTTATGATTGCTAAACGACATTGGAAATTATCCGGCATGAGTTTCTTTTAAACGAAAAATCGAAATTTATTTTTAAGAAGAAAAAACGATTATTTCTAACCTTAGAGATGAGGTATGAAAGGATGAATTGTGAAGAGTAATGATAAACGGAAAAATAAAAGTATCCAGGGATGGGAATCGAACCCACAGTGTTCCGCTTACCGAGCCTTACACTAGGCTACCCTGGACATAAATTAACACAAAGCAATAACGCGCCATCTATACATATAAAATAAAAGGATTTAAAAGCGCGAATGTTTCTTTTATACATAAAACGAACTCTACTGTCCTTACTGCGATGAAAAAAATATATTGGGAGGGCTTGGCTCATCAGTAATGAACCCTCCCAGCGGTTTCGCCAATTTAATCCACCAGACCGCTTCTCATAGCTCTAATACTGTATTGGATCATTCTGTTTTATATGCTACACTGAAGGAGGAATCTTAGAAATGGTTTTCAAGTAAACTATGGACATAAGCTTGAAAGTAATTCTACTGTCCTATAAGCTTATGTCCATAGTTTACTTGAAAACCATTTCTAAGATTCCTCCTTCAGTGTAGCATATAAAAGCAGAATGATCCAATACAGTATTAGAGCTCTGAGAAGCGGTCTGTTGGATTAAATTGGCGAAACCGCTGGGAGGGTTCACCACTGATGAGCCAAGCCCTCCCAATATATTTTTTCATCGCAGTAAGGACAGTAGAAGTTCGTTTTATGTATAAAAGACACATTCGCGCTTTTAAATCCTTTTATTTTATACCCTGGACATATTTTTCCGTTCGTAAATATTATATGAGGCAATTTATCATACAATATAATGCGGCTATGTGGCTAAGTAATTGTTATTTCTCTTCAAAAATAAATTTAAATTTTTCGTTGAAAAGAAACTCATGCGGGATAATTTCCAATATCGTTTTACCTCTACAAATTGAAAAAAAAATATATTTTTTTGTGACTGTTTATGATAGGATCTCTATTTTGATATGATTTATATCTTCTATTTTCTATATGTTTAAAATATGATTTCTATGGATATTCTAGAGAGTGAAATATAAAGATTCCTTTGATAATAATTTTCATTAGAAAGACGTGCAATATTTCTAATACCAGTCATGGGCTATACTACATTCTTTTCCGTAGCCATGGAGGAATATCCTTTAATATTGTCACAGAATACTCTGTGGTGGCATACTCGGTTTATCATCATTAGTCAGGTGACGTCATCATTTTATTTGTAAATATTTTGTTTAGATATCTCTCAGTTTTCTTCAAGATTGAAAATAATTGTAAATACTTTTTTTTTTTAAATAAATTTGTTTTATGATTACACTCAATTTTCTGGTCTGACATATATTCTTGATATGGAACCATCGAATACTGACATGAAGCCCCAGGACGGTGCAACAATATGAAACGTTCATGGAGAACATCGATCGTCTTCTTCGATCAGAACGTTTAGCCAAAGTGGTGTGAAGACCAGTAGTCGGGGGCAATGTCAACCCCGGAACGGCCTCCATTATGACCAATTTACATAGCCGCGCTGTAATCTCTGGCTAAATTAGGTTGGGAATCGAAGGTCGCTCAATTAAGGGCTATTAGTCAGTGTGGAGAAGATATTCTAATGTGGAGACCTACATATGGCAAACTGTTACTTTTCCCGCTCGCTCTCTGCTGTGGTCTTGGAGGGTGGGAAATGTGGCAGATAGACATTTCTGAAAATATAGTTGTAGGGAGTGACATTTTGTGTGTAGGGTGGCTATATCGTGCTTAGAGTGGTATATTCCGTGTGTAGGGTGTATACATATTGTGGAGGGTGGCTATATATTGTGCATAGTGGTATATTCCGTGTGTAGGGTGTATACATATTGTGGAGGGTGGCTATATATTGTGCAGAGTGGTATATTCCGTGTGTAGGGTGTATACATATTGTGGAGGGTGGCTATATATTGTGCAGAGTGGTATATTCCGTGGGTAGGGTGTATACATATTGTGGAGGGTGGCTATATATTTTGCAGAGTGGTATATTCCGTGTGTAGGGTGTATACATATTGTGGAGGGTGGCTATATATTGTGCAGAGTGGTATATTCCGTGGGTAGGGTGTATACATATTGTGGAGGGTGGCTATATATTTTGCAGAGTGGTATATTCCGTGTGTAGGGTGTATACATATTGTGGAGGGTGGCTATATATCGTGCGTAGAGTGGTATATTCCGTGTGTAGGGGGTATACATATTGTGTAGGGTGGTATATCTCTTGTTTACGATGGTACATCTAATATATAAGGTGGTATATCTCGTGTTTAGGGTGGTTATATTTTGCGTAGAGTGGTATATTTAGTGCGTTGGATGGTATATTTCGTGTGTTGGGTGGTATATCTCTTGTTTAGGATGGTACATCTAGTGTATAGGGTAGTATATCGCGTGTTTAGGGTGGCTATATCTTGCATAGAGTGGTATATATCGGGTTTAGGGTATGTGTATATATATATATTGTGTAGGTGGTACATCTTGTGTATAGGGTAGTATTTCGCGTGTTTAGGGTGGCTATATCTTGCATAGAGTGGTATATATCGTGTGTAGGGTGTGTATATATACATATATTGTGTATGTGGTACATCTTGTGTATAGGGTAGTATATCTCATGTGTAAGTGGTACCTCTAGTGTATAGGGTAGTATTACTTGTGTGCAGTGTAGTACATCTCGTGTTTAGAGGGTGGATATATCTCGTGTGCAAAAGATGTATATATTTCGTAAGTAGGGTGTTGCATATATAGTTTTTAGAGTGAATATATCGTGGGTAGTGTGATATATATCGCATGCAGAGTTGATAAATTATGTGTAGGATGGTATATCTAGTATGTTGGGTTGGCTTTATCGTGTGTAGGGTGGTGAATCTTGTGCGTAGGTTTATATATCTTGTGTTTTGCACGATATATTTTGTTTTTATGATGGAATATCTCATATGTAGATGGAATATCAGGTTTTAGGCTGGTATATCTCGAGTATAGGATGATATATTTCGTGTTTAGCGTACACAGTTTCGGTAGGAATTCGATGTGGCTTGTACATTTGAGTGTTATTGGGAGAACCTGGCAATTAAAACTCTAACAGACACAGTAAAACCTTTTATAAGCGTTTATATGAAGATCGATCACTTTTGAGCAATTAATTTAGCATAAATAAAACTGAAGTACTATCTATTACATCCCTCGGTCATTGACCATTTTGAGAAGCGATCAAATCTATTCATTGCTTCTGCGCGGTCTCTACCGAAAGATTGTACTGTAACTTGGTCGCAGTTTATACAATGTGAGGTATATCCCAGCGTTACTACCTCTCTTAGATTGCTTGTTTGTTTAATCGGTAGCTAATCGATAGATCGATATTTGATTTGAAAAATAGATATCTATGGACAAAACCTAAAGAATAGGAAAGTATTTTATGTCGCCTGTCAATTTTTTCACATTTATTTACATTGTTTGTCTACAATAAAGGTCACTGAGTTTAAAATATTATTCAGAATATTAGGCTAAATCACGATATAAATGCTAAAAATGACAGCTTTTAAAGTTTTGCCCAGGAGTGTATATCGATTCAAAAGTTTAAAATGTAATATCACGTAATTTTTGTCATCCTATTCTCTCTCTTGTAGTTCCTATTAAATTCTAGAATGTACAGATGGAACTTTGTAAATCAATGCTGACATCCTTAATTCAGTTGTGAATAAATGACTCCATTGTACAATTTTGAAAGTAGTTATCAGAAAGGGTCATATAAAAAGTGCACTTATTAAATCATTTTAAAATGAGGTCTCTTAATTCCCACTATAATAAGTTGCAGCTAGACAGCCACTCTAGTTGTTCCAATAAGTCTTGCTGATTTGGATAGTGCTTTCCTGCCTTTACTCGAAATGTATTTCGGTTATACTTGGCAAAATAAAAATATATTGCAGTATCAATATTAAAATATATTTTCTGAAAGAGGCTATTGAAATATATAAAAGTGTAATTCTATAATCACATATTTTAATTGCAATTTGTATTCACAAATGGAAGTTCGGTTGATATATGTGAATGATCAAAGAGAAGATGGTTATATCTTGAATTGTGTGTAGGTGGTAGTGATTGATGTACCATTCTGAAGTGTTATCCAGGGAGATAATGACAATGAACAACTTTTACTAACTACAAGAACGATATATCGGGGAGAGTATATAAAACAATTGAAAAAATAAACTCCTTCAGAAATGGCAGCACACATTATTGACTGTAATGACTGATCCATTGATGAGCTCTACTCATCCCCAGCAGACACCATCAAAATTCTCAAGTTCTAAGGCTTGATACCCTGATATGATCGAGTGAGATATGAAAGAAGAAGAAGTGACATCAATGGGACTATTTATAGATGAGGTTGCATAGACAGTGTAGTCTCAATGGTTGTTACTCCACTTTCCAAAAATGTCATAATCCTTGAAGAGAGTGTATTCTTTCTTGTTAATACACAACTTGGTGCCTCCAAACTCCGGATATTGAGTTACCTCCGGATACACCCTCTGACCACGAGATGTACCACACTACACACGAGATATACTACCCTTTACACGAGATATATCACACTACACACGAGATATACTACCCTTTACACGAGATATATCACACTACACACGAGATATACTACCCTTTACACGAGATATATCACACTACACACGATAAATCCACTCTACAAACTATATTAACACACTACTTACGAGGCATATACATATTTTACACACAAGTTATATCCACCTTCTAAACACGAGATGTACCACACTGCACAATATATATACACCCTACACAATATATATACACCCTACACACGAAACATACTACTCTGCGTACGATATAGCCATTCTACACACTGTATATACCACCCTACACACTATATAGTCACCCTATACACTGTATTTGCAGAAGTCATGCTATCTACCACATTTCCCAACCTTCAAGATCACAGCAGAGAGCGAGCGGGAAAGTAACAGTTTGACATGCATCCAGATTGAGAAGCATATTGTCTCCTTCCTTTACTCTTAGGGGAACCATGTCTCCCTACTAAGTGGACCTTAGTCTGACCTGTCCCAGGAATGATGCTTCCTCCCATTGTCTCAGCAGCCAGTCTCTGAACCAGGACTCTGTCCAAGAAAGTGTA